TAATCAGAGCATTGTCCCGGTTGAAGGTTAGGTTTCAATAAAGGCTATAAAGGTAGGCTTCCATTAACGCCATAAAAAAGTCACATTATTAAATTAAATTAAACAAACGACTCAGTAGTCGTTTTGGTCCAGTTTGCCACTGAGCAACAAAGTGTGCTGTACACTGAACTACGAATAGCCCCTTTGCATATAAGATCAACTGGCCAGTTGTAGACAATACATTAATTTGGGAAGCCTAATAGCCTAAATCAGATTAAATAAATTAAACCTAGGTTCCCGAGGCTCTGCTGTCAAATCTCAGGAAAGAAAGTCAAAAAGGCCACAATCAATACTCTCTCATATTAAATTGTAGTGTAATTAGCAGGAACTTGAATATTATTAATTATAGCTGAAACTTGAATATTATTAATTAGCCTATAGCAGAAACTTGAATATAATATTGATTATTTGTAATATTTGTAATATTTGAAGTGACAATACACATAGCTTATTCTTTCAACAATTTTATTAATTCTCCTGTGTTAATCTTGTCAAGGTAATCGGCTTAACCGAACAATTACAATAAAGTATAATATCAGTAAATAGTCAATCAATACATAATTTATTACATATTGGTTCAATCAGTGTTTGGCATTATCGTTTCAGTAATACAGAGTCATAGCCATGTTTTAACAGAATTTCAACAAAAAGTGTATTTTGCATTCAGAGTGATTGGTATTTTTTTATTACATCTTAAGAAGTGTTATATTTAAGATCATTGAAGGTACTTTCAGGAGGACATATCAGACCTCTCACGGTCCATAAATCGGACTTCTGGGATATTTAATTACAGGGCCCACACTTAACATCTTTATTTCCACTGCGCAGCTCTGTGATTGTAACGTCCTCAGTAGTCTGATTAAATAAATTAAATTTCATTTTCAAACCCCACCAGGGGGCAACTTTTTATAATACTCACACCTGTATGGAATAGCCAAATTGTATTACATAAAGGTGTGAGGTGATTTTGGTTGATGGAATGATCAGTTAAGTAAAGAAGATATATTTTTAATATAGTAAAGAACATTTATTTTTCTTTACAAAAAGAATATAGGAAATATTCTTTTTATTTTTCTTTACAAAAAGTGTGGTGTTTCCGCCCGGGAATTCTTATTTTTCTTTACAAAAAGTGGTAGCAGAGTGGCGCAGTGGAAGCGTGCTGGGCCCATAACCCAGAGGTCCGTGGATCGTAACCACGCTCTGCTACCACTTTTTGTAAAGAAAAATAAATGTTCTTTACTATATTAAAAATATATCTTCTTTACTTAACTGATCATTCCATCAACCAAAATCACCTCACACCTTTATGTAATACAATTTGGCTATTCCATACAGGTGTGAGTATTATAAAAAGTTGCCCCCTGGTGGGGTTTGAAAATGAAATTTAATTTATTTAATCAGACTACTGAGGACGTTACAATCACAGAGCTGCGCAGTGGAAATAAAGATGTTAAGTGTGGGCCCTGTAATTAAATATCCCAGAAGTCCGATTTATGGACCGTGAGAGGTCTGATATGTCCTCCTGAAAGTACCTTCAATGATCTTAAATATAACACTTCTTAAGATGTAATAAAAAAATACCAATCACTCTGAATGCAAAATACACTTTTTGTTGAAATTCTGTTAAAACATGGCTATGACTCTGTATTACTGAAACGATAATGCCAAACACTGATTGAACCAATATGTAATAAATTATGTATTGATTGACTATTTACTGATATTATACTTTATTGTAATTGTTCGGTTAAGCCGATTACCTTGACAAGATTAACACAAGAGAATTAATAAAATTGTTGAAAGAATAAGCTATGTGTATTGTCACTTCAAATATTACAAATATTACAAATAATCAATATTATATTCAAGTTTCTGCTATAGGCTAATTAATAATATTCAAGTTTCAGCTATAATTAATAATATTCAAGTTCCTGCTAATTACACTTCAATTTAATATGAGAGAGTATTGATTGTGGCCTTTTTGACTTTCTTTCCTGAGATTTGACAGCAGAGCCTCGGGAACCTAGGTTTAATTTATTTAATCTGATTTAGGCTATTAGGCTTCCCAAATTAATGTATTGTCTACAACTGGCCAGTTGATCTTATATGCAAAGGGGCTATTCGTAGTTCAGTGTACAGCACACTTTGTTGCTCAGTGGCAAACTGGACCAAAACGACTACTGAGTCGTTTGTTTAATTTAATTTAATAATGTGACTTTTTTATGGCGTTAATGGAAGCCTACCTTTATAGCCTTTATTGAAACCTAACCTTCAACCGGGACAATGCTCTGATTGAAACCTGAATTTGTACCCAATCAATTACTCTCAGAGATCTCTTTATGTATTTTTGAAATGATTTCAAACCCAAATATTTAAGCAAGAACAAATTGTAACTGTTTTACGTAACAGACAGCTGATATCCTAACGATATAAATTGAAGTTAAGTACAAAATTACAATATGAAATTTAACTGGTATAAAGATTTACCCAAACTATTAATATAATAATACCTATAAATGTATCACAGTATATATTTTAAAATAAGTAAACGACAATGATTTTAAAGCAATGTGACTGAAATTACACACTAGTACATGAAACCTGCAAGAAACATGATTAAACAAAATAAATATGAATGTGGACAGATTGGCTACTCCTAATGATATAAATACAATTTACACAAAACATTTACTTACATACACAGAAGACAATTTTGACGACACATAAACATATAATTACGACACTGTACTTGGGGTATGCTCTACGAAAATGGTCAAATCTGACGAATTTTGCCGGTCGACGTCGAACTTAAAGACTCGTTTACTTAATCAATTCGTATTTTAGCAAATGTTGTTTCACGGTTTAAATATCAATGCACTCCGGAAATCGAACAATTGATTCTTTGACAAAATACACGTTACGACTACCAAAAGCGAGTTTCGCGAATTGAAAAGGAGAATTTAAAGATTTCCGTACATCGCGGCTCAGAGCATAATCCCAAGTGACCGTTAGAAAAAGACGTCCACACAAGTCAGCAAATTGGTGTTCCTCCGCGCTCACGTGATTGGCCGTTGTTGGTCCTTGCCTTCGCGCGTTTTCTGTTTGATTTGAATTTTTCAATCGATCATTCATTTTGAATCGGTACACGTGTTCCAAGGGGATTTCATACCAATTATGGTTGCTTGTTAATTGTTCCAAATAATTTCACATAATTTCCAAATAATTACTTTTTGACTTATTATCAATTATAACACATATATTTTTGTGTACATAGGGTCTACAAAAAGGTAGTACGTGTGACATTTATGTTAATAATCATATGTTATATCTTAGTTAAATATTTTATGGCAAGGAATTGACGATATTAATACTTATGTGGAAGTGGGGTAAAAGCTGGAATGAAAATTGTTTTAGAAAAAATGCTACAATCACTCAGTCAACTGTAGCAAAAATATTTTTCTTTGAGCATAAAAAAGGCCAGTAATATTGCATGTTTGGACATTGCACATTAATGTTGCATCTAAAGGTTATGTATAGCAAAATTCTAAAAATGCTACTACAGCTTAAACCCGGTGTGGAAGGGTGCAGTCAGTGACCTTGTCAACACGGCGCCGCGCCGGCGACGTCTGCCTGCACTGGTGCCTTTGTAGGATGCCGCATGGCGCCTGCTACCGCTGTATCACTGTTATCAGCGCAAGCACAAATTTAGGCCCTTCCCGCTCCTTATACAAATCGATCGTATTGTCAAAATAGTTTTAACCCTAGAACACTGGTGGCCAATTGACCAACAAGTGGCAGGAATATTTTGGCCCTTTTGTAATTGTATCATATATTTCGCAAAAACTACAAAATCATTGAAATTTAAATGTTAAGGTTGTGTGTAAAATGATTCTTTATTTAAATGTATCTTAAACATGTGTCTTAAAACAAATTTTTCTGAAAATATATAGTTATATGCAGCTGAATTATAATACTTATATTTCAAAAACATATAAAACTACTCACTTGATAATGTTTTATACAGGGTGTCCCGGAACTCTCTACCAATATTTTAGGGCATTGTTCCTGGGTAAGAAACATATCTAAATATCATATTTAAATTGTCCGGAAGTCCTTATTTACTCAGATAGCCGCCATTTTGTTTTTTTCACTTATTAATTTTTTTCTGAAGATTGGTTGAACATACAAAGTTGAAACTTTGCACAAACATTTATGACAACTAGAAAAAGCTACAAAAAAATTATGACGATTTTTCAAATTCATAAAACAAAATGGCGGCTGTTTAAAATTTTGTTTCTTAAATTACTCGAAAACCGTTGATTTAACAAAAATTTTACAAGAATAACATTGTTAAGGCAATTTTATTACAAATCGATCGACACCTTAATCTTTAAGATCGGACGAGTATTAACTGAGATATGGCAGTTTTAGTGATACGTGACCGCTTTCAGCATGCGCTGCAACTAATATCCGGCAGTCACGTATCACTAAAACTGCCATATCTCAGTTAATACTCGTCCGATCTTAAAGATTAAGGTGTCGATCGATTTGTAATAAAATTGCCTTTAAAAAGTTATTCTTGTAAAATTTTTGTAACATCAACGGTTTTCGAGTAATTTAAGAAACAAAATTTTAAACAGCCGCCATTTTATTTTATGAATTTTAAAAATCGTCATAATTTTTTTGTAGCTTTGTCTAGTTGTCATAAATGTTTGTGCAAAGTTTCAACTTCGTATGTTTAACCAATTTTCAGAAAAAAATTAATAAGTGAAAAAAACAAAATGGCGGCTATCTGAGTAACTAAGGACTTCCGGACAATTTAAATATGATATTTAGATATGTTTCTTACCCAGGAACAATGCCCTAAAATATTGGTAGAGAGTTCCGGGACACCCTGTATATGGAAATAAATCCTCAGGCCCTCATATTTCTAACGGTATACTGGTATGTGTTTTTTTTAGGACTTTAACAAATATGACACAAATTGAAATGCAAGATGAAGAGATTGACACAGAATATGGAAAAGAGCAGTCTGAAGAGTTGGCAGATGAGTTGCTCCTGCCGAATGACAATAGTAACGCACTTGACAGCACCAATGGCAGTACCTCTAAGGTAGCAGAAGAACAACCGACAAAAGAAGCTGCAAACTGTAGTAACAATCAGTCTAACAAACGTAAGCCCATAACAAAAGTATCCGGGGAAAACGTCTTGAAATTATTTAAAAAAAAATTCTGAAGATAGAATAAAACTTCTAACTACAATTTTGGCAAAGCCCAACGAACCCTGGCAAGAACCACAGGATGCTATTGATGTATTCTTCCAAAGTATGGGCATGGCGGTGAAGAAGATGTCTACTTAACGCCAAATTCGCGCTAAAATGGAGATTTGCAACATGGTCAGTCAACTTGAACTCGAAGAACTTCGATCAAACTCAGTACTTGTGCCTCCATATCTTCAAAGCTCCACATAGTCAGGGACCTTATCACCCCAAGAACTTGGAAACGATAACAACACCATGAATATACATTATTTAACAAACTATTTGCATAATTAACCTTTTTGTAATTTACATTTGGCAGTTTGGTGTGTTACATATGTAACTTATTTTCAATAAAGTACACTGAAGTAACGAAATTATAATTTTTATTACTGCATTCTTACCTGAGTGCCAATCCCAGTTTCTCAGCAGGGCTTATGGGTTTTTTCACTTTACCACATGGTTTTCCTTCTAAATCACTTCCGATTAACGATAAAATGTAATTAAACTGACATATATTGACACAAAAAAACTTCCTAAACATACTTTCATCTTGAAAAAGATGTCTCTGAATAAGAATTCTTTGGAATCCCTCATTTTGTCGTGCAATGAACAATGGGTTAGTTTGCTGTTGCTTACTGTTTTTAACAAGGCACGTTAATAGTTCTTCTTCTTCCTCTTCTTCCATTAAAATGTACGATGCCAAAGCTTCTTCCATGACGGTCAAAGTGCAACTGCACTAGTCACACTAGACGTGGGAGTCGCGGCATAGGAAATAAGACAAGCGTCTCCAGCAGGATAGCAGGAAGCGTAACAGTCGCAGGATAGGAAATGGACCTTAAGAATAGCCGGGAGTCTTAAATTTACAATTTACAAATTTAAATTTACACATTTTGGTTGTGTTTGCTAAAAAGATGCCAATTCTTCATCAAGATTCGAATACTAACCGAAGGAGTTTTCAAAAGGAGATGGAGTAAGATATTTAAGTAATATTAACTCGTACCAAGTACCGGAAATGTTGTATGCAGTGAGGTAATCAACCATATTTTGTAAAGTACGCAATAGTCATATTAATATTTTATCCTCATTTTTTACCCATTTAATAAATTAACATCTACTTTTGAAATCTCCTTTTGAAAACTCCTTTGGGTTATAAATCGAGTCTTGACAAAGAATCGCCATCTTTTTAGTAAATACAACCATCATTTGTAAATTTAAATTTGTAAATTGTAAATTTAAGACTCCCGACTATTCTTATGCATAAGTAAACTGTTTTAGTTTGCTTGTTTATTGATTAATCATGATCAAACTTGGATAATTAGTTTATTTTATACGAAGTTATTGATATTTTACTAAAAAAACACACTATATTACCCTCCCTTTAAAAACAACCTGGGTACCTTTTAAACCTAATTTTTATTTATATACATATTGTACATTTAATAAAACATCCAATCAGGCAAATTGAAATTTGCTGAGTCTGCAGGTTAGCTGTGGCGTAGTTGTTTTACTCATGAAATAAAGTTAAATTTAAAGATTTTATAGTATCACACTATTTAACTAAATGGGATGAATGGTCGTAAACATAAAAAGTAAACGTTGATTTCCATGGGTTTCGCCTTTTTTATATAAATAAAAAAACTAAATATACTTAATCACAAATAACTCAAAAACCGTTAGGCTTAGAGAAAAATGGTAAATACAAAAAATGTGTATTTTTAGATGGACTACATTTTGTGTATTTAGAGGTTTCTTGTATCTCTAATAATAAAGTCACTATAGCCAAAAATACAGAAATATGGCGGCCGTAGCACAGCTTCAATTTTAGGGTACTTTTAGTATGTTAAAAAGGGAGGTACACCCAACATCTGTACCAAATTCCCCGCTTGTGCTAATTTTTTTTGGGTCAAAACATATTTTTATTGTACTAACTAGCTGCTGTACCCGTGCCTCGCAACGGGACTGCCTAAACCAACAACTTGTTAAGTAGTTTGAATTTATAAACAAAAAGCTACCAAATTATTACAAAAAAGTATAACCTACATTGTAAGTGTCCTACTTTTTATATGAAAATGTATCAATAATATTATTTTCACGACTTAGACACTTTGATAAATCAAAAGCAGAGGCTGGTTTGCAGGCCCAGTCTGGCCAGGGCGGCTGGTTGGCGATCGCTGAGGACCTTCGGCTCAAAGGGGCCTCCAAAAGCCAAAATAATCAAGTAAAAATTTTTTTTATTATGAAAAATTATTTTGTTTCACTATTTCAAAGTGACGTAGTCTTGCAAAAACAATTAAACAATAATCCATTTTCATTGAATTACAGTTAATAGTAAAGGGTAGCCCCTACGTACAGTGATAGTCACTCGACACCACAGGATAGTAACCGATCTCACCACGCTGCGCCGTTCGAATCAGTTGCCAGCGCTCCACGGTAGTGACGCAACAGTGCCTTGCCGGCGCATTTGCGCCCTGTCTGGACTAAAGCAGACAGCTTAGCGCTTGTACTAGTAGTGATGGGACAAAAGACTGGGAAAACAATCGACTAGTCAATCGGTTGTTTTTCAAACAAGTCGTTTTTTCAGTAGAATGAAAACCTGAGTGAATTCCACTACAACAACTGGTGGCGTTCAATCGGTGCAATGGTTTCAGTAGTTACAGTCGTTGCAAAGAAAATTATTGATCATAATTTAACTTTAAACATTGAAGTTTTTGTGGCTTGATTGAAATTTTTTTTGGTCATTTGCATTAATATTTTATTACTATGGTATAAAACATAATGGAATGACAACATTTACAATTAATTTTGGAATCTATATAATTAATACGCCAACACGAAATTTGTCCAGGTTGCAGTTCTTTGGGGGAAGAATATGTAATAATTTATGCCTGCCTTTTTTCTTTATGATTTAGATTTATTGAAATAAAATATGTTTTATTCTTTATCATGATTTGAAAATATTAATTAATTGTCCAACTTGGTTTAATACAGATCTTTTATTTAATTAATCCAAGTGTTTGTCTTTTTAAAGTCTAGTCCGTCTTTTTACAGCCATCATTTTTAGGCCGGCCGCACACTGATGCAGCATTTCACCTGAAGTAAGTGTTGCGAGGCAAAATGTTTCGCTGCGTACGAGCTCCCTATGTATTTCAATGGGACACCGCACACTGATCAAACAAACGTTGCGAGGCGCTTCTCAATGCCTTGATACATCGACGAATGGATCCCATACAGCACGATGTTTGATGTTTCAAGGAGCAAAACGTTCTGTGCATGTGCCAAATCCCTTCTAGCTAGTAAAGCTTAGTGGCTTTCAAAATTCAATTGACCGTTTGTTGTTTAAAAAATAACTCTTCTTTGAAAAATGAATTTTGAAATTTCGTTAAAACTTAACAATTATATTTTGAATTTCCATTACACAATATTGTTGTTTAATTTTTCTTGCTACCACTTTGGTAGTCATACAGCCCATGCAAAGTAGTAAAATAATTAAGAAATTAGCAAGGTTACTCAGTTTATTAATCATTATTTATACAACCATCACAACATTATATAATAATAAGTTCTTACGGTACTTAAAACCCTTCCTATATAATAGTATAGCAATTATTTGACAATAATTGTAAACTTATCCTGGATCTGATTTCATTTCTGAGAGGAAAGCTGTCTATCAACAGTTTGATTGGGTGAACCCAATGTTGTCTTTCTTTTCTATTTAGTCTAGTATTATGCAAAAACTGATATACAGCAATAGCTGCGTTGACTTCCTCCTCCCATCTATAATATTAAAACGAAACAGGGTTTTTTATTTCACGATTCTGAATCAACCACTTGACGGATTTTCATGATTTTTGTGTTGAAAGAAAGAAAGAGAACTAGGGAATGTCGAAGCCATAATTTTAGTTTAGGGTTTTAGTTTTTTAGAAATTAAGTTTTAATTTTTAAAAAGTCTAGTAGCCGACGCTAGCAATTTAAAGTATTTTCAATGCTGGTTTAACTAACAGCTGGTTTATAACTGTCATTGAAATGTTTATGTTACGAGTTGTTTGTTTACAAAAATATTGTTCGTTGGTGTTTGCCTACATACTATTTCACTTTAAAATGTAGGTAGTTTCCCCTACCGTGAAGGATCTGCGTTATCAGGAAATGTGTTACTGTATTTCGAACTAACATCTCAATTACTTGCGTTTAATCAAGTTTTGTCGTAAATGCAATCTGTGTAAGTATTTAGTTTATGCATTGCAAATTTCAAACTCATATTTGGGAAATATCTTCTCAGCAGTTTATCGCTTAATTGTTTAAGATATAAGTGGTTTACGTGTTGATACTTCTTTTTCTGTATGTTTGAATATGAGTATGTCGGAATACTAAAATTTTGGTTAGTAATGAAAGCGTACAATCGTTGTAGTAGGTCTCTATAAAACTGTCAAATAAACTGCAGGGTGCAGCAGAACCCAAAGTCGACTCATACGATACCAACTATCCCCGTAGTGCTGATGATTCAGAAACTTGGGCACTGACCAAAGAACCGAAAAACCTTAATGCTGGGTTAGATAATAAAGTGCAGAGAAAATATACAGACCAGTTCAAGATAACGGCCCGGAGGTCGAAATAAAAAAGAACAGAGAGCTAAGAGAAATGTGTTAACACCTAAATATAGGGATACTTTCCAGAAGTAGGTAAAGCTTGGATGGACAGGCTGTGCATAAACTTTTAAAAAGTATATTCCAAGGAGTACCACACGATAGACGGGAAATTTCAAGTTATGAAATGCATCCTCAGACTGGGATCTAAATTTTGAAGAGGCAGGTGATAGAAGAGAATTCTCATAAAAGTTTCAGTGGTCACGGAGGTAAGATAAGGTACGGTAAGTACATAAGTAGTACAGTATGCGATTGGAGGTGGCATGTAACTACTACTCTACTCAAAACCAGTGTGAATCGGTCGCCAATCTCACTTCAAGATTTTTCAAATCGACACCTCGATTTATTTTACCATAAATGCTGTTTTATGGTAAAATTATCGGATTTAAAATGCATATCGCCATATTTTAGGTCCATATTCGAATGGAATAAATAGGTGGTCACTTTACATTTGTTTATAAGGTGATCTTCCCCATTAAAACTGCCAGAATTTGTGTCTATGTGTGTAAACTAGATGTTCTGAATTATTCCGTTTTAGTTGACAACTCGATTCCCGTACGTAGGACGGGCCACCAGCTCGTTTATTTTAAAACAATACTGCAGTATACGACCAGTAAACATAATATTTATTCCAATATTTATTATTCTTAATTTTGCTTGAAACCAAATGCTGAATCATGCTCCCGCACACTGGAGAAGCAAATAAACGAAACGATTAAAGCAAATCGTTGTGCAACATTTTGCTTCAGATGAAATGCTGGATCAGTGTGCGCCCAGCCTTAATTGGCCAAAAATCTCAATCAGTAAATAATTTTGATAATCTGTTTTTTTTTTCTTTTTGAAATTGACATAACGTTATAGCATGAAAATATAATTTGGCTTTTGTATTAACTCTCCCGCACACTGGGAAGCAAATAAACAAAACGCTTCAAGCAAATCGTTGTGCAACATTTTGCTTCAGGTGAAATGCTGGATCAGTGTGCGCCCAGCCTTAATTGACCAAAAATCTCAATCAGTAAATAATTTTGATAATCTGTTTTTTTCTTTTTGAAATTGATATAACGTTATAGCATGAAAATATAATTTGGCTTTTGTATTAACTAAAATACCTTTGATACTTTAACACTTTTCAATGAAATGGCGACCATACAAAGTAGGTATTTTAAGAGTCCTTGGAGCTTAGACGTTCTAACGCATAAAATAATTTAAGAACTACAAAGAAATATTCTAATCTCACAGTATACTAGATATTCAAATTACAATCACTGTGGTGTTTGAAAAAAATATTTATGGACTGTATATAACTCTTCAACGGCTCTTTGAAATTTACAAAATTAACATTGCTCTTATGGCGGGCAAATCCAAGATGGCCGTTAGCTTCCGTGACTCCCTTGGAGAACAATTTAAAACTACAAAGAACATTTCTAATCTCACAGTATACTAGATATTTAAATTATAATTACTTTGGTGTTTAAAAACATATTTTTGGACGATAAATAACTCTTCAGCAGCTGTTTAAAATTACCCAAGATGGCCGCTAGCCTCCAAGGACTCTTAAGCGAATTATGAATGGAGATGAGTGTAGGATGAGTGGCGCAATCATGTAGTCTTGTTAGTGACTAAGGCCGACATATTCCTTAGACACAACTGTTAATTAATAGCCTATACCTACTGCATTCAAGTAAATTTGACAAACACCTAATTCTTTTATAAATATTTTGTAGATTGCTTAAACTGCGAAGAATAAGTCCAATCGAGTCATTGCCATCTAAACTAAATAAAATAACGAGTAAATGTAATAACGTCCCACAGATTAAAAACGATTGCTGGGACACAGCGGCTGTTGTCAACGGACTCTCAACAATGGACATATGCCAACATTGCTGAAAAAAACAGTATATGGCAACCCGTTATTGGCGGGCGAAAAACATTGCCTTTCTGTTGCTGGGAAACAACAATAACTTTCATTTATAATATAATATTAATTTGCCATATAATAATATTAATATTATAGTTATAGTCATATAATAATATTAAGGTTTAAGTTTTTTTTTTTTTTTAACATAGTTTTATTTTAAATCTGTTTTGTATTAAACAATGAGTAAAGATGATGGCATTTTTAACAATAAAATAACAATTGGAATGCATGAGTTAGTAGCTAAACAGCTTTAGCACTAACAAAAAAAAAGAAAATAAATTTCAGAGCTGCTGTACAAATCGAGTCGGAGTTGCTTTCGTTCACTTTGATTCTCCATTTTTGTAGCCACGTGGAAAGACTGCCAATTTGTAGTGTTTGAGAAGCTAAAAATGGGTCTTCATGGGATGTTAGGAGTGCTGGAGTGCTGTGTCGTCTGCAAATGTAGATAAAAATAAATTTGGATTTTCAGGTATGTCTGACGTATACAGGGTGAATTTTAAATGAGTTCCCCCCCTACTTTTTTCTACATTTCTTAAGATATCAACTTCGGACCACGTCAGATCATTGTAGTGTAGTAAGTACTTCATTTTGACTGGATAAACATTTTTGGCCGCCATCTTGGATCCGCCATGTTGGATACAAATTTTTTTTTCAAATGTAAAGGTAGGGTTGTGACCCATTGTTTCAAACTATAATTTTACGCTGATTACAATGCCGCAATTAGTTTTAAAAAATCTTGATCCGTTCTAAAGTTATGAGGACTTTTTATAACTTTATTTTTAGCCCATTTTAACATTGTGCATTTACAAACTAAGACCATAATCTCAAAATAGTGCTAGATAAAGATAAGTATACACCACCATTTATTGTCGACCTATTATCACTTGGTTATGACGGATGTATTTTTTTGGCCGCCATCTTGGATCTGCCATTTTGAAATGTGATAAATTAATTTAAATATGAAGGTGGTGTTGTGACCCATCATTTCAGACTACTTTTTTTATGCTGAATTCAATGCCGCAATTCGTTTTTGTTTCTCAGGCTTTCTTGATGAAATATTAAAATTATCTTACTTAAATTCCCAATATTTCAAAAAACAAATATGAAAATGCAAAACGGATTGCGGCATTAAATTCAGCATAAAAAAGTAGTCTGAAATGATGGGTCACAACACCACCTTCATATTTAAACTAATTTATCACATTTCAAAATGGCAGATCCAAGATGGCGGCCAAAAAAATACATCCGTCATAACCAAGTGATAATAGGTCGACAATAAATGGTGGTGTATACTTATCTTTATCTAGCACTATTTTGAGATTATGGTCTTAGTTTGTAAATGCACAATGTTAAAATGGGCTAAAAATAAAGTTATAAAAAGTCCTCATAACTTTAGAACGGATCAAGATTTTTTAAAACTAATTGCGGCATTGTAATCAGCGTAAAATTATAGTTTGAAACAATGGGTCACAACCCTACCTTTACATTTGAAAAAAAAAATTTGTATCCAACATGGCGGATCCAAGATGGCGGCCAAAAATGTTTATCCAGTCAAAATGAAGTACTTACTACACTACAATGATCTGACGTGGTCCGAAGTTGATATCTTAAGAAATGTAGAAAAAAGTAGGGGGGGAACTCATTTAAAATTCACCCTGTATATGAGATAGAGAATTGGTCCCAGGACGCTTCCCTGTGGTACACCTGACTCTATTTTGTGTAGCTTGGTGTAAATTCCTTGGTGTTTTATTCTAAAATGTCTGTTTTCCAGGTAAGATTTAAACAATAGAAAATAGTTATGAGGGAGAGAACGTTTAATTTTGAATAAAAGTCCAGTATGCCACACTTTATCAAAGGCTTGGCTTACATCAAGAAACGCTGCAGAGCAATATTCTTTTTTCTCCAGGCTCTGTCTTATTCTGTCTGAAAGTCGGTGCACTTGTTGAATGGTAGAATGGTTTTGACGGAAGCCGAATTGATGATTAGGTATAACATTATGTTCATCCAACAGTGGGCCTAGTCTTTTTAAAAGTAGTTTTTCGAATACCTTAGACGTTATGGGAAGGAGACTGATGGGCCTGTACGAGATTACTTCGTTTGGGGGTTTTCCAGGTTTTGGTAGAACGATAATTTCTTAAACCTTCCATTGAGTCAGAAAGTACTCGAGGCGGAGGATGGCATTGAATACTAGAGTAAGGAACTTAAAACCTTTCTCAGGGAGCTCTTTTAATATTTTTGCAGTGATTAAATCATATCCTAGAGATTTATTTAAACCTAATTCATGGAAGATGCATATTTTTATTTCATTTTTTGTGAATGTTTGGATAGGCAAATCCAGTTGATTGGGTGAATCCAGATACTCCTGTACCTCAGGAGAGTTTGTTGCACTGGTATGTGGCGTAAATACTTGGGAGAAGTGGGACGCAAATAATTTTGCTTTTTCGTCCAAGCTTTTAGCCCACGAACGATCAGGTTTTAATAATGGGGGAACAGACAATTTTGGTCTCTTGAAGTTTTTTGTTACCTTCCATAAAGAGTAGTTTGATGCTTCTGTTGAAGAAAGATTACTTGTATATTCCTGAAACCATTAGTTTTTAACGTGTCTTAAAAGTCTTTTTAAATTTTGGGACGCTCTATTAAAGTTTGTTTTACTATTTATATTCCGTGTATTCTGCCACACTCTTCTTAATTTACGTTTCTCCGCTATGAGTTTCTTTATTTGAACAGGATAGTTAATGCCATCGTTAGTTTGCAGTCGACACGATGACATAGGGGTTGCTTCCCAAGCACATTGTTGAATTACATTGTAAAAAAATTCAACTGCATCGTCTATTTCTTCGTTGGTTTTTAAGGGAATTGATAGATCTTTGTGTTTTTGATGGGTACCCAGACTTCTCAAAGAAGACCACAAAGGAAAAAGGTTTTCGCGGCCATTTCTACACTCCTAACTCATTTCCACACTTACTCATTGCATTAAGCCATAGCTTGCAATCATCTGGCAAAGAGTGTCGGCATCTGATATGTATTTGTAATCAAATAATGTATCACTGAGCTTATCTTGCACGGCGCGGGAGATTCAATAATTCTAAAAATTTCAAACCCACAACAAAGTGTACACATCAGCTACAAAGCTGCAAAAGGTGTCATTCTATTCACATTTTTGACTGGTTGAAGAAAGTAGTCACTATTCAGACCTGACATCATTTTGCATAGAATCCAGAAAAACAAGATATGGAAGAGGATACAAGAGCTGATCCTGAGCCGTCAACATCAGGTGGTGAAACCAGTGACCGGAAGAAAAAACTGCTGGCTGTTGCTCCAAAGCTGCCATACGATGTTGATCTCTACCACTGGGAGGATGAAAAGTTGCCTGTGCCCACGCTTGTTCCGTACGTTGTCAAATTCAATAAGAAATTGTTTACAAATAGCTTTAATTTAAACACAAGACTGCTAATGAATTAAATAATTTCAATTTGAAACTTAATAAAAGCTATTTTTACTTTTAGGTGTACCAAAGCAAATCCAAACATCAGGCTAGTCCTAAGATAGGGAAAAGGTTGCTGTTTTTAAATTTAAAACAAAGTTACCTTACTAGGGCGTCGATCCTATGAAGAAACCATTGATTTTCATGACCCGGAAGAAGTACGGCGACAGAGAAAATTACAATACTCTGTGAATTTTAAATTGCCATGTTATTCTTATGGGGGATAAGTAAACTGTTGTAGTTTGCTTGCTATGAATATATCTTGATCAAATTGAGGACATCTACATTTTACAACTTAGCTAATAACTTCACAAGTTATTACATTCTTTATAGAAGCAAACATAAGTACTCACTAAACCTAATGTTGTTTTTATAAAAAATAAAACTGTTATTTTCAAGGAAATATTTCAGTAACAATCCAAACAGACAAATGGTAATTTGCTAAATGTGCAGGTTTGCTTGCCTTTGGGGGGGGGGGGGGGGTGGAAGGGGGTTATTTGTCATCTTCACTCATCTCATAAATTTACGTTTCGCACACTTCTATATTTCTTACCAGGGTGTGCTAGCTGGGAAACTCATCTTTAAACCAAAGTCTCCCACATTAATCATTGAGCTCACAAAAAGTCAACACCAAATGTGTTAGGAGCATCTTAACTACACATGATCTCCATTAGAATCAGATTCGTGCTAACTGAATAACAATTATGTCCTGTTTAAACACACTACACGATAGTAACAAGAGGTTAGTCAAGCTTTGTATTAAGGCAATGAAGTCATTGATGTTTACAGAAGCAGCACAGATGGTCATAGGTTCTGGGTAGGCTCGGAGGGAACCATTGATGAGCTGCCAGTGCCAGAAGGCTCAGCAGCATTGCGTACCCGTGTCATCGAGTTTACTGGCAAGTTCAAGCCAGTAACTCACAGTTGTCGAGTACGTCTACCAAGTGGTAGACTGTGCCCTCGTCAGGACCGCTACAAGGTAATGTGTTCATTACTTATTTAATTTAATCAATCCTTAGATTATTTTTTTAAAACTCTTTGTTATCCACATGTTGATACTAATATGAATTACCAGGTGTTCATTTATTGAGATTGTAAGTGTCTGGCTATATAAGGTTTAAAGGTAAAAGACAGGTGTTAGTATAAACAGGGTGTCTAGTAGTCGGGAAAATCGGGAAAGTCGGGAATTAGTATTGAATTTTAAAACGGTCTTGAAAAGTCGGGATTTAGTCTTAAATTTGATTTCAAAGTCGGGAATTTTCATGATTTTGCCGCGATCGTCGTCTTGCGTTTACGTAACCGCGAAAGCCAATGATGATGATGTCTACACGGCCTCGGGAAATGTTCACGATTTTGCCGCGATAGTGGACGACGACGATGACGTTTCCGAAACCACGAGAGACGACGATGACGTTTCTGTGACAGCGGGAGACGACGATGACGTTACCGTGACCGCGGGAGACGACGATGACGTTTCCAAGACCGCGGGAGAAGACGATGATGTCTACACGGCCGTGGGAAATGTTAATGATTTTGCAGGGATTGCGGACGTCGCCGTGACCGCGGGAGACGACGATGATATCTGCTCGGCCGCGGGAAATGTTCATGATTTTGTCGCGATCGCGGACGACGAGATGACGTTTCCGTGACCGCGGGAGACGACGGTGATGTCTAAACAGCCGCGGGAAATGTTCATGATTTTGCCGCGATCGCGGACGACGACGTTGACGTTTCCGTTACCGCGGGAGATGACGATGACGTTTCCGTGACCGCGGGAGACGACGATGATATCTGCTCGGCCGCGGGAAATGTTCATGATTTTGTCGCAATCGCGGGAGATGACGATGACGTTTCCGTGACCGCGGGAGATGACGATGACGTTTCCGTGACCGCGGGAGACGACGATGATATCTGCTCGGCCGCGGGAAATGTTCATGATTTTTTCGCGATCGCGGACGACGACGATGACGTTACCGCGACCGCGGGAGATGACGATGACATTTCCGTGACCGCGGGAGACGTCGATGATGTCTACACGGCCGCGGGAAATGCTAATGATTTTACCGTGATTGCGGACGTCGACGATAACGTTTCCGTGACCGCGGGAGATGACGGTGATGTCTAAACAGCCGCGGGAAATGTTCATGATTTTGCCGTGATCGCGGACGACGACGATCACGTTTCTGTAACCGCTGCAGTCAGTGATGATGTCTAAACGTACGGTACGCGGAAGATTTCATGATAAAAAAAAACAAATTTGCTAGTTAGAATTTTTTATTGCTGCATTATTTCTTTACTTGAAAACACCACATTATCGTAATACTACTTTATGACAAAGACAGGGGTTGGTGTAGTATTATTTAGAAAATTTGGTTAAGCTATAAAAATTGGTATCGGTATCAAGAATCGAGAATCAATACATTTTGGTATCAAAACCCACTAATTGTTGAAAAAAACTGGTCTTGAAAAATCTGGAATTAGTCTTGAAAAGTCTGGAATTAGTCTTGAATTTTATAATGGAAATAAACTAGACACCGTGTATAAAATCAATCTATACTTTATATCCTTAAAATTGCGGTTGTCAATGATACTTGCTATGAATAACCTAAGTTTTCAAATAAAACCATAAACGGTTTCAATTAATCCATTTGATTGGATTCTAAATTGTAAAATATTTTAAAGATTACACGTCCCTATTAGAATTCCATATGTGATAAATTTAAATATTTATAAAATGTATATTTTGCCATAACAAAACCATATCATAAAATTATTATTTTACTAGCAGAGCACCCGTCCTTCGTACGGGGTTAGCATATAAGTAACCTAAAAACTACACTTTATGAGTTTCCTCGTAGCAAACCTAGGTAGTCGTTAAACCTAATGTTATTTAAATAGATTTGATAGAAAATCAATTCAGACAAATGGAAATTCGCTTAGTCGGCAGGTTTGCTGCGGCGGGGGTATTTTGTAATTTAATTATGTTATAAAATTTAAAATGGGGGCCATTTTACAATGACTATTCTTTTGTAAATACAGTATGACTTGTTAAAGTTATAAACCAAGTTTCATAAAGATGTCTTAAATAGCTATAGATAAATTTTCAATGCAAAAAAACCAAATGGCAAATATCTCACAAACTAGGTGTATAAGAAATAGTTATTTGTGCAACTAGTGAGAAAAGTGAGCAATTGACTCACTCGAGAGAAACCCTTACTCACGAGCCGTAGGCGAGTGAGGAATCGTTTCTCGAGTGAGGCAATTGTACTTTGAACTCGAGTTGCACATTATACTTTTCCTACAGTTACCATAAAACAAATAAATTTGTGAAGAAACATAACCTATTTTTACACAGAAGTGAACTTTTAATATAATAGTTAATGTGAAGTGACAAGTACAACAGTACAACAGCTGACCAGCTGATTTACAGCCAGTGCTGCCAACATATTTTGCGCGCATACGACGTTGCCTGCATGTTACGCGCTCACTATTTCGTGCCTTCACGTTGCAAATCTGGAGTGAGACAAAGTAATTAGAGTGAGACAATGTTAACATTGTCTCACTGATGAGTGAATTGGCCACTTTGCTTTCTCAAATCAGTGAGAGAACATGTACATTGTTAGGTAACTGTAGGAAAAAGTTATATTCTCAATTTTTGTTGTATTTTGTACCAATAAACTCCTGAATACTTTGTACTTCCAGGATCTATTTAAACAAGATCCATATAAACCCAAGTTATATTTTTGACAAAAATATATAGTTTTAGCTAACTATGTATGCTTTACTACAAAAAACAAAAAAAAACTGTAAGAAATATGTTTTAGTGTCCATTTCATGGTGAAATTGTGCCACGGGATGAGAAAGGAAACTGCATCAATCCTAAAGATGCTGTTAGAATCCAGGAATTGAGAGAGAAAAAACAACAGGAAAAGCCGGATTGGCAAAATCCTAAACTTTTAGCTGACATTAAGGTTAGTAAACTGAACAAACATTTTATTGACCCTTACTAAAGTGATGCAGATTCTATTATCTGAAACAACATTTGAATGTTGTTTAGTAGAATTTCAAAAGATACTACGGGCCAAAAAATCTAAATTTCTGTTAGTTGGCCTATATAGAAATCTCATTAAAAAAACTGAAATATAATTTATTGGTAAAATAAATATTTTGTTGGGAATACTTTCTCAAAAATACCAACACATATTATTATGGGTGATATTAATATCAACATGACGAATTTTGAGGATGGTAATATAAATAAACTTAACAATATTGTTCTTGCCAATGGTTTCCAGTCAGTTTTTAATGTTCCTACAAGAATTACTGAAACAACAAAAAGCACCATAGATAATATTTTTACCAATATAAATGATGCCTATTTCCAGTGTTGGGGAAGCTACTTTTAAAATGTAGCTAGCTACAACTACTTCTACATTTCCAAAAAAGTAGCTTAGCTACAGTTCCGAAAAAGTAGCTAGCTACAACTACAGCTACAATGAAATGTAACTACAGCTACAATTTTAGCTACTTTTTCAAAGACGTTACTTTTTATTCCATGCACATTAGGTAAATGTAAAATTAATTGCAATTACATTTTTATTAAACAAACATTCAAATAAAAAATGTCAGTATTGTATCTAACATTACTTGGAAAACAAATTATTCCTAGATTGTATATAATTTGTTGGCATTATAAACCTAACGTTACAACAACAGAACCAAATAGTTGGGTGTCCCATCATATTTAGTACTTATTTTTAAATATTGCATTATTTTTAAGCATCTTATATATGTAAATTTCATTAAGTTCAAAGGACATACAACCAAACTATATTTTTAAAGCTCATTTTATTTCTTTAATATAGATTCATTTATAGATGTCTTATATCAACAATTAAGACCAATAAAACTGTAAAACGGTTATTTAAAAATACTTTTTTGTGTTGCAGAGCCTATAGCCTACTGAAATTGGAGTTTATTGCCTTTCTTTTCTTTTAATGTTAAAAACTACATTGCTATAGCTTTTAACCATAGTGATAAGTTACTTGTTCTATGAATAACACTTTTCAATGTCAATAAATCGTCCTTTATTGTCATTATGCATAGGGCAAATTGTGCTTCAACCTAGTTGGTACAGAAAACAGTATTCAGCAACTTATCCTGAAATTGTCTTTTAATTTAAACATGTTGAAATTTGTAAAGTAAAAATAACATGTAGGCCTACTTTGCTATGTAACAAGTTGGCTATAGTAGGCTTGTTCTTGCAAGGACTAAACAGATATATTCCTAATACACCATAGCATAGCCTAGGAATAGTCCTATACAACAAGAGCTGTTAGCAGGAGCAAACTATGCTATTTTTTCAATGTAAGTTTCATGTTATATGGAGATTTTTTTCATTACAATTATCATGTAGTCCAGGCATTTTTTAAATCTCATAAAGTCAATTTGCTCTTTGTTAATTTAGTAAACCTTTGAAAAATATTCGTAATCTAACCAAGGAAGGGCTTGTGATGATGAACCACAATCAACAGCTGAAGCAAAGGTTGATAGACAAGCTTTCTCAAGGTTTAGTGTTGGTTTCCATTAAAACCCAAGTTGAAACACTATCGATATAATAAAGAAACTAAATTGATTACTAATTTCCCTGTCAATCACTTGCAAGCATTCAATAGCTTCTCTTGTCACCGGTAACGTTTAAACGTCGTCTGCATCTAGCGATTTTATTTTATCTGACAGTAATCATAGAGTAAGTAAATTAAGGAAATGAGAGCCAAAAATGTGGATAACACTTATTTAATGGCCTCCATGTCCACACAACGTTGTAATAGGGGATGAAACGGCTGCAACCAGCTGTATGAAGCCAAGAAAGTAGGCCCAATTTTTTTGAAAATCTCAGTTTGAAAGAGGTTGTTTCACGTAAGGTTGAGGTTATGATAAAAATCACTATCTCAAACAATGTTAATGTAGCGAGAAAAGTAGCTAAAATTCCGCTACAACTACTTAAAAAATGTAGCTAGCTACAGCTAAAGCTACAAAATCTTAAAAGTAGCGTAGCTACAGCTAACGCTACAAAAAAAGTAGCGCGCTACTGTAGCGTCGCTACTTCCCAACACTGCCTATGTAATCGGATTCAATACTCAGCTGCCAGACCATGATGGTCAACTTTTTGTAATAAATAGTAAAAATGATAGTCGTGATAATGCTGTGTATCTTGAATACTCTAGGAACTTTAGCACTAAAAATATAGATCACTTTATTCACTTTATTGAAGCACTTAGCCCTGAAACTTTTCTTGATGTATTTTTTGTTCCTGTGGAGTCAAAGTATGATGTGTTTCATCAAACTTTTATGTATTATTTTGAGTTGTGTTTTCCTAAGAAATTATAGAATTATAGAAATTATGTCTATATTATAGTAGAAAATATAGACATAGAAGGTGGTTTACTGAAGAGCTAAAGATTGAAAAACAATCAATTATTGAGTTTGCTAATAATGCTAGAATCTTAAAAAGCAAAACTATGTACAAACAACTAAGACAGAAGAATAAAATGTTTAGAAATAAAGTTACAGCTGCAAAAAAACTATATTATCAAAATAAAATAAACAACTCAAGTAACACAAACAAAACCAGCTGGCAAATTATTAACTCTGAAGTCGGTAAGGCAAAAGCAGATAACCAAATTACTAGTGTTCACATTAATAATCAATAGGGGTCTGCGGTACAGAAAATTTAAGGTCGGTACGGTTCGGTACGGTACAATATTTTGTACCTCGGTTCTCGGTACAAAATCGGTACAGTACGCGGCTACCCGTATTTTTGCGGTTTTCTGCTCAGAACTGTATTTAAACCATTATTTTTAACTTTAATACATTGACATAACTATGAAAATGGATAGTATCCTACATTCATGGTTTTCTAACAACAATTACTAACACATTATTAAAACAAAACCTTTTACTACTACGAGGATTGTGTCAAGAAAAATCACAGTTTAGATAAAGGCTTTACCTATTTTACTCTGAGATACTTTGAATAGCCATGATAAAAGTGGTTTTAAAAATATGATAAGAGTTTTTAGGAACAAACATGTTTGAAACATTTATTGACAAGATAATTTAACACAACTGGTCAATTATTTCCAACCAACACAATGTCTAGTTGTTTTAAAATTTTTTTTTAACATATAGGCCTAAAAGCATTCAGTACGATGACAGTGTAGTTTTCAGCTGTTCACTAGAGGTTATGATGAAGTAATGGCAAAGAGCATATTTTTGTATCAGCTTCAAAACTATAAGATGGATACAACTCTTGAAAAGTTTTTTTCTGAAACTTAAATTTGGATTATCACAGAGTAAGATTATTGCCTTTTCATTTATAAAGTTAACATCCACAATATCAATCAAATCAATCATTAGTTTATCTTAGGCTCAACCCAATTTCTTAGTATATTTTAAAGCTCTTCCAAAGAATCAAAAGACCCAGGCCTAGACCTAATTATTTAGGAGGGCCTATATATAAATTGATTAGGTTACAATGAGGGTGGCAAAATCACTATCTAGTTCATAAGATTTAGATTGCATAAAGTACCTTCAACACAACACAAAAATATAGGAAACTAAAAAACATTTTAAGCCTTAAACAGCCACATCTAACAATAAAAGACAAGATACAGAACATGTAATGACATAATTTGAGACCGAGTAGGCTTGAAAAACGAAAACAAAAATTATGCAAACAACAACAACTATGCTTGTGGGTTGTCAATAGAAAGATAAAATATCTATAACAAATATTTTAACTTTTAAAATAAGATTGTAGATTAGTTACAAGTTTAATGTGTAGCCATAAACAGTTTTATGGCAGTAGGCAATGGCCAGCGGCAAATTGAATATCCACGAAAATACTGACTTGAGTTAGAGATAACATTTAACTAACAGTCATCGTCATCATAAAACTATTATTTTTATGATAAAATAGAATTGGAGAAAGTCGTAAAGAAATAAAGTGATAAAACTCAACAGTTCTTGGAAGTACTTGAATACAACAATGATTGTCGTGATAAAATGTTAATGGATTTGCAACTGATAATGGGGTTTTTATTGCATCATCACCCTAGTAATAAATTATGAAGATCGTAAACAAACATCTGATAAGACTTTTATGTGCTCGGAACCAACTGTCGTTGACTACGATAGTAAACTTAAAGTAATTTATTATTATAATTAGGCTGTACTGAACCGAATTTGTGTGTAAAATGCTGTACCGAACCGATGACGGTAATTAAGCTTGTACCGTACCGTACCGACTTTTTCGGTGCACCGCAGACCCCTAAATCAAATCAATGTTATTTTACTGATTTGGTTGACACAAACATTGTCCCTAACATGGATTCTCTTGTTGGGAATGTTAAGGACGGTGTTAAAGTAGATGAGTCGGATCATATAATTATTCCGGGTTTTCATTGTAGACCTGTTGATGAGAAAGAAATTGACGAAATAATAATCTTAAAAACTCATTTAGCACCGGCTATGTTAAGGTCCCTGTGGTGCTCATCAAAAAGCAAAATTACCCCTCAGAAAATCTATAGCTCATTTAGAAAAATTCTTCCTTTATATCAGGCATTTTTCCTAATAAATTAAACATTTCAAAATTAATTCCATTATTAAAAAAAGGAGATAGATATGAAATATCAAACTACCGTCCAATTGCACTGCTTCCGGTCATGTCCAAAATATTTGAGAATGCCATGTACAATCGTTTATATAACTTCCTGGAAAGTAATCACCTTTTTGAGGACTGTCAACATGGATTTTGAAGTGGTAGGTCAGTTGTGACAGTTGCTACAGAGTTTATAGAGTCAGTTATTGATTGTTTAGATGCAAAACAAAAGGCTCTTGGTATTTTCATGGAATTAACCAAGGCATTTGACTCTATAAACCACAATCTGCTTTTAAATAAATTGTCTAGCATTGGAATAAAAAATAAATCTCTTCATTGGCTCTAATCATACATTTGCAATAGAAACAAATGTGTAGAAACTATCCAATTTAATAATCGAATGAAAATTACTCATAAGTAAAAAATTAGAACTATTAAACATGGTGCATCTTGGGTCCCCTCCTATTTGTTTGCTATGTTGCAAATCTAGGAGGGCTGACTAAATTTATCAAACTTTACCTGTATGCAGACGATGCAAATCTTACAGTTACCGCTAATTCTGAAGAGAAAATTGAAAAGACAGTTAATGCTAATCTCGATATACTTTAAAAATTTTTTCGAAACAATCAGTTACTTTTGAATCCAGATAAAACAAAGTCCATAAATTTTGAGACCCGTCAGACAAGACTTTAAATTAATCCTTCACTAGAAATCAATCAGAAACCCATTCAAGAATTAGAAAATATGAAATTCTTAGGCTTTGAAATTGATCAAAATTTAACTTGGAATTCTCACGCAAAAAAGTAATAAAAAAAAACTGTATCTGGTCTATTTGCATTGACTAGATAAAAAAATATTTTCGATCAAGTAACACTACAATCAATATACTTTTTGTACATACATTCTGTTATTTCTTTTGGAATACTTCCGTATGGTGCTACATCTATCAATAATTTAGAAACAATCATAAAATTACAAAAAAGAGCTATAAGAATTATTTTGTACCTTGACTCCAGAGCTTCAAAAGAGCATTTTAGATCATTAAAAATAATGACAGAACATGGACTGTACATCTATGAAACAGTTCTATCTGCTAAAAACAGATTTTCTCAATTGGCGTTAACTTGTGAACTTCATTTTAAAAATAGTTGTTTAGCCTCCGGATTACTGTATTATACTTAAAATGGTTTAAAATACCTGCATATAGTAATCCTTTGTTGCTGATTTAGGCAACTAGTTTCGGTTCTTGTTTAGAACCATCTTCAGGCCTCAAGGTGTCAAGTGATCACTTCATTCGAAGGTCGTTAACAGAGTTCAATAAATAAAACATATACAAAACACGATACACGGAACGGACACACATTACAAAAAACACGAAAAACACGAAGGGACATTGACAATCGATCGTGACCGGGCTGAGGTAAAGTCTAGACTGGTGGTCAAAGTCACTAGACCACCAGTCTAGACTTTACCTCAGCCCGGTCACGATCGATTGTCAATGTCCCTTCGTGTTTTTCGTGTTTTTTGTAATGTGTGTCCGTTCCGTGTATCGTGTTTTGTATATGTTTTATTTATTGAACTCTGTTAACGACCTTCGAATGAAGTGATCACTTGACACCTTGAGGCCTGAAGATGGTTCTAAACAAGAACCGAAACTAGTTGCCTAAATCAGCAACAAAGGATTACTGTATGCAGGTATTTTAAACCATTTTAAGTAAACTTGTGAACACCACCACTACAATACCAGAAACGAAACCAACATTGCTTTAAATCGCCACAGATTAGAATTTTTGCAGTAAAAAACCAAGTTATACCGGCTCTAAATTTTAAATCAAAATTCCAAATGAAATCAAATCAGCAAAATCATGGTGGGATTTAAGAGAGGTCTTAAAACATTTTTCATCATCAAGGTATATTGTATTCCCTTGATGAACTGTAGAATTTTAGAAGGAGCGTTAATTTTTTATTTGTGTAAACTTTTGTTAGATTTTAAGAATTTTGTATTTATAGAATGTAAGACCATTTTAATGTAAAAACATGTAAGAGAATGACACTATTCATGTAAGCTACTTGAAAGGTTTAATGAATAAAGAAATAATGAATTGAATTCTACTAAACTTACAAATTTTCAAAGTGTTAACAAAGTGTTAATGCCCTTGTGCAGCATGTGGTTATTGAAACTTATTGTTATCTGTTAGCAATTGGTTAAACATACCTCGGCGTTATTTTCCAGAGAGCAACAGGAATTGACTTGAAAATGCCTGAAAAAGGAAAGAGAAAGAAGAAGAAACTAACGGGACTCACTGATTTGAAGGAAACTGAAAATTCAGCCAAAAAGCGTTTGGAAAATAAAATCTTCAAAAAGTAAGTCTATATTTGCATTATCAGTGTAACCTGAGAATTGATTTTTATTTTTATAGAACCTTATTTCTAATTTTAGAGATATTAATACATTTAAGTGAATTTCCCATTTAGGAAATAAACTATTACTGTAGGTCCATTCCTATCTATCATGCCATACTTGACCCAGATGAAATGAATTCATATTTTTAGATTCAATAAAAGAATAAAGTAAAGTAATACCACAAAGCCCTTACAAAGCAGAAGATTTTTTAGGAAACAACTCAACAAATACAACATTTTCTTGGTCAGAGGTCTCATCATCGGATATAATTAAAGTTGTTGCTAAATTAACAAATTCTAAATCAATGGATTATTATTGGATTTCTAATAATATTTTGAAAAAGACTATAGGTTTTATTAGCTACCCTCTTGCTTTTATATTGAATACCTGTATGAGGGAGGGATATTTTTCTCCATCCCTCAAAATATCGAAAGTAATCCCAATATTCAAAAAAGGTGATAAAAAAATGGTAAAAAAAATGGTTCAAAATTATCGGCCTATTTCACTTGTTCCTATTTTTTCCAAAATATTTGAAGCAATAATGTATAATCAATTAAATAATTACTTTGAACCTATTGTCAAACTCCCAATTCGGCTTTCGTCGAGGTAAATCCACAACCTCAGCAATTCTCACTTTAGTTGACCATTCTCTCGAAACTTTAGAAAAGAAGGAATCTGTGTCATTAGTTTTATGTGATTTAAGTAAAGCTTTTGACACGGTTCCTTTTGATATCCTAACTAACAAACTACGTTTTTATGGCATCACTAATGATGCCATGCTTCTAATTTCTTCGTATTTATGTAATAGACTTCAATTGGTATCAATTAAAAATAAATGTTCTAAAACTGAAAAAGTTGAAACCGGTGTTCCTCAGGGCTCTGTACTAGGGCCATTTTTCTTTAACGTCTACATTAATGATCTTCCTATAAATATAAATACACAATCTGTTATATATGCGGATGATACAACTTTACTCGCTAACCATTCTAATTTAACAACCCTGCGCTTAATTAGTCAAGAGGCTGAACATAGAGCATATGATTGGTTTTCTGCAAACAGACTATCTTGTAATTCTGACAAATCACAATATATAACAATCAGTCTTAAAACAGAGGTAAAATTTGAATCAGTTAAACTTTTAGGATTTAATTTGGATTCAAAATTAAATTGGTCATCACACATAAAATCTGTTTGTAACAAAATTTCAAGAGTGAGGTGCTTGCTGTAGAAACTTAAGATTTTGTTAGTCAAGAATATTTAAGATTGGCGTATTTTGGACTCTTTCAATCGCACATACTATATGGTCTTATTTTGTGGGGCCACTCTCCACATATTAACGACCTCTTTTTACTCCAGAAAAAGGCGGTTCGAAGCATTGCTGGAGAATGCTCAGATACACATTGTAAACCTCTTTTCATTAATTTCAGGATACCAACCATAGTAAATCTTTATATATTCCAAATTCTAATATATACAAAGTCAAACTTAGATCAATTCTCTTTCCGAAAAGACGTACACAATCACTATACAAGAGGTAGGGATGAAATAGATATATTGCAGCACAGATTGGCAAAAACCAAACATTCACATAAATTAAATTGTATAATGTTTTTTAATAAGCTGCCTGAAGAAGCAAAATTAGTTTCTTACAGTATTTTTAAAAATAAACTGTATGACTGGATTGTTAAAAATCCCTTTTACAAAATTGATGATTTTTTAAGTTGTGAAATAAATATTAGATTTTGAAGAGTAAGTTGAAATAAAGCTTTTTTTTCATGTAAGTGGCTATTTAGATTTAGATATTTTGTACTGTAAATACTGAATCACCTTGTAACTATGTATAACAATGACGTGTCCTATTTCTTTTATAAAGATCAATGGAAATAAATATTTCTTATTCTTATTCTTATTCTTATTCTTATCTGTTACTACTTAACTAACGCGACATATTTCCACGTTAGTTGTTAGCTCATTCATCCGTTGCTAGATTTTGTCTGGGCCTAACTTAATATACTGAATTAAGATGAGTGTTTCATCTATTAATTGCTTGACTAGTAGTATCACCTAGGTAGAAGCCAAAAAGCCCCTGAGACTAGTTTTAGCGAATTTCCCATATAGGGAATAAGCTATTACCGTAGGTCTCAAGGTAAGACCTGGACCCGGGACCGATTTAGTTTTTCGTTTTGAGGTCCCCAGAGGCCAAAAACACCATCCGTTCAAATTCATATATATATATATATATATGTGTGTCCGTTAGCGCGATAACTCGAGCAAAAATGATCCGATTTTGATGAAATTTAAATTTGGTATAAACGTGTAAACCTACATTTATTCGAACGAGTTCGCGAACCAGCATGATCGGACTATGGGAACAGTGGTTGATGGGGGGTTTTATGGGGTAAAAATGGGTTTTTCTAATTTTTCACCCTGAAAACATAAAATTTTGCAATTTCTTTCTAAACCATTTTGTAGAGCTCAAAAAAACAAATAATTTAGTATATTGAAGCATTGTTGCATGCCTAACGTTTACGGAAAAATCGCAAAATAGTGTAAATTTAATATTACCATGTTATTCTTATGGAGAATAAATACAGTGTTGTAAGCTTGCTTGTCTATGGACATATTTTAATGAAATTTTGAAATTTTGTTTACTAAGCTATTAATATTTCAATAAAAACCCCCTATTTTCTTCCCTGTAGCAGCAAACCTAAGTACTCATTAATATTAATGATATTTAAATAGGAAATAAATCTGTCAATTTTAAGGGAATAATTTAGTGGAATTCCAGATGTGTAGATGGAAATTCGCTTAGTCTGCAGGTTTGCTGCAGCAGGGGTATTTTAGTTTTTTTGCTCCTTCTACTCCTTCTGCTAACACCAGCCTTGTTGTTGGTTGTACCATTCCTGGCCCTATTTGGCTATTTTATATGATGCTTACTAATGCTTGCTAAGTTATACAGGGTGTCCCACAAGAGGTGTCTCAAATTGATTACGGGAAAACGGCTTAACGTACAAGGATGAAATAAAATTATTTCCCGCTAAATCATCGACCCCAAGGAATAACGTAAAAATATTTTAAACGTTTTCCCATAACAGGGTGTGCCAAAAACTGACAGTCACTAGTTTGAATCTCGGATTTTTCAAATGTAAACATATGTCATGTTATACACCATTTTAAAGGTATTCAATAGAGAAACGTTTTGGCGAAAACAGAAATTAATTATCTTTTTTTGTTTCAAAATGGCGGCAGTTTTTTTTAATCAATATTTTTTTATACTCTGTGTTTCCTATACCAATGCATTTAGCCCTTCTCCGGTTGAATTTTCTTACTCGTTATGAAATTAGCTTTACTTTGATATGCTACAAGTAAAGGATTTTTGAAATAATAAAAATTTCCAAAAATTTATTTTTAAAAATTTGCAAATGCTCATTGTTCAAAATTTTCAAATAGCAACATATGTCAAGTGGCACATCATTTTATAGGTTTTTTAATTCCTAACAACTTTGTAATTTATACTTACTTCGTATCTCTTTTAGTTTTTGTGTAAATAAGAAAAAACCTTATTTTCCTATATCAAATGCATGCTATTTGGGTTTAACACTAAAGGCCCCATTTCATTTAGTGCTAAACCACGTCAAACCCAAATAACATGCATTTAATATAGGAAAATTAGTTGTTTTTGTCATTTACACAAAAACTAAAAGAGATATGAAGTAAGTGTAAATTACAAAGTTGTTAGGAATTAAAAAACCTATAAAATTATCTGCCACTCCTCAGTTAAGAGGCTACGTACATCCATTAATGATTCCAGTGACAAATACTTTTTATGACCAATAAAATGCTCGCCCTTTATTAATAAATAATACATCTGCTACATTTTATATACATAAAGCTGGATAAAATCAGTTTGATAGAAGAAGTGTGTTTATTTATACGTGTAGTTCCGTTGCAATGAATCACAGAAGGCAATTAAGATGAGTTAATCTGACCAAACAAGAATAAAAAATCCAATCATGAAAATAAATATAAGTAAGGTATTGTGTAAAAACAATTAAAATATGTTAGTAGTTTGATTTTTTTCCAAAAATGTTTTGTTTAGTGCATAAATTATCATATTCATTTTCTTAGTTATAACAAAATGGTTCATAAATTTCATTCTTAAATATTTTTAGTTAAATAAGTAGGTGGGTATTTTTAAGTGATAAATAACTCAATTCTCAAATAAAAACCTAAACGAAATTTAAAGGGTTTATGCAGTGATGAAGTAGCGCAGTGTAGTGGTTCACGGGTGTTGATGTTTTGTGGACGGCTATCAGTGCAGAAACTCCCATTTGAAATACATGGCATACGAGCGCTCCGCACTGCACGGTGAACATGAAATTGAGTATAGAGGTGGCAAATAGTTAAATACATCCCTGGACACCACTGCATTTATATCAATCTTCTGAGGGCAATATCCAACCACTTCTGATAGCATTTCCCTTAACACATTGGCCCTCGGGTGTGACGCTTGGGATTAGCTGCGATCTGGTCGTCTAAAAATAAATGTGTCAGTAGTTGGCTTGCACTGCCCTGCGAATGTGAAGTGTAGCATTGTAGAAAGAGATATAACCACAAACTTGTGCAGTGGCAGTTTTCACTTGGTGCCTTTTTTGTAGTATTTCTTGTAGGTGTATCTAGGTATTTAACCTCTGCATTTGGCAATACTGAGGGCATGTTAGCAATTTTGTTTATTGCTGCTATCTGTTGGTTTCTTGTAGAACTACGTCCCCAATGACTGGAACACAGTATATGCTATAATTTGCCTCTCCTATTGGATGAAACTAAATTTAAACAGTTTTTCGCGCACCCATCCATGCACACTCGCAAATTGGCTGGTCCCACACCCGGCTGTGGCCGGCCATAACACAATCACAGCAAATGTGTTAAGTAATTTGATTACACCCATCCTCAATTTTA